TACTTATGAAAGGGAGGGAAGAAGGAAAGAACTCTGAGTATTTCTACTAAAGAACATTACACGTCTTCATCCTCATTTTATTGTAAGTGGTTTGTTTTGTATTAACAGAATTTCTTGTGAGCTAGAATCCCTTTAGCTTAGTGGTTTTCAAACTGTGCTTCAGTGGACCATCTACTATATTCCAAGAGGCAGTCTTGTAGTTGGAGTAAGGGAGCTAGGGGAGCAAAGGTAAAGCTCCAGACTCTACTTTGAAAGTTCACATCTGCTTTAATCTAGGCACCTCAGGGTTTGTTTTTATCAGAGGAATAGATATACAATGGAAAAAAGACAGTCTCTTCAACAAATGGTGTTGGGGAAACTGGACAGCTTCCCCTGTGAAGAAAGCTTCCACAGCTTTAACAAAATAATTGAAATAATTTTGGAACAGTATTCTGTATACAGTTGTAATATTTCAACTTAGCTATCATCATACCCATGGCATAAATTCAGAATTTATTATTTTTGCCATGTTGTAAAATTTTAATATTAGAAATCAGTGTCGTTTTGAGAATATCAGAGGTTTTATTTCCTATATTCTCACTGGTGTAAGTGATATTTATTGACAAGATACAGTTTTAAATGTTATTAATTTATATTTATTTTACTTTAAGAGTTCAGATTAAGTGTGATATTGTATGGTACAACTGGAGTGAATTAAGTTTATGATGAATGATGTATTAAGACATTTGTATATTTAGTAGTGATCTTAGTACAGAAAATTATAAGATTTTTTTTTTTAAGATTTTATTTATTTATTTGAGAGAGAGAATGAGAGAGAGAGCAGGAGAGGGGGGAGGGTCAGAGGGAGAAGCAGACTCCCCGCCGAGCAGGGAGCCCGATGCGGGACTCGATCCTGGGACTCCAGCATCATGACCTGAGCCGAAGGCAGTCGCTTAACCAACTGAGCCACCCAGGCGCCCAAATTATAAGATTTTATTCCCAGTAGAATAAGAATAATTTAGGTGATTTCTGTGATGGAAACCATTGCTTAAATTTATTCAGACCTTTTCTTTAAATTTTTTTTTTAACATGAAAACTTCAAAAAGGCCAAAAAAAACCCCTCAGAAAATGTTAAATAAGTATCTACATGCTATGGGCTGTTTCTGTATGGGGTGATGAAATGCTGAAGTGCTTTTCATCAGCTGGGAGAACTCTGGAATGTTCTCACAGCGTCAGAGTAGCAGTCTCAAAGTACTGCCTGTAGCACTTAAAGCCCTGCTCAGATTACCTGTGCTTTACCTAGCTTTGCCACTTACTAGCTTTTAGGACCCAAGCAAGTTAGTTAATTTCCTTGTGTTTTCGTTTCCTCATTTGTAAAATGGTAATAGTGTCCCATAGGATTTATTGTGAGGAACTTGGCATACTTCTCTGGACCTGATAAACTCTAGGTAAATGTTAGCTACTCTCAATAAATAATCAGTTACCACTGCTGCAGCCACAGCATTAGGATTGTGTGCTTACTTTTACTTGCATTTGTCTCCCACTAGAGGACTTCAGCAAGTCTTAGCACGTTTTATATGCCAGGACCTAGAGCATCTACCACAGTGGCTGGCGTGTAGGAGGCATTTGGTTAATGTTAGTCCTGCTAAATGTAGCCCAGCGCCCTGGCTTTTTGGAAGTTCTTCAATAGAAATACTGACTTAGGGGCGCCTGGGTGGCTCAGTCGGCTAACTGTCTGCATTCGGCTCAGGTCATGATCCCAGGGTCCTGGGATCGAGCCCCGCATCAGGCTCCCTACTCAGTGGAGAGCCTGCTTCTCCCTCTCCCACTCCCCCTGCTTGTGTTCCCTCTCTCGCTGTCTCTCTGTCAAATAAATAAAATAAAAAGAAATATTGACTTAGACGTAATTCCCCACTGAGACTCAGTTCCATCTCTAACCCCATAGTGACCCATCTCCTGATAAATCTCCCTTAAAACACCCAACATAGAGTGTTTTACTTACTCAGTAATAGTAGTTATTTGCTGTATTAGTTTGCCAAGGCTGCCATAACAAAATACTATGAACTGGGTGGCTTAAACAACAGAAACTTACTTTCTAAGAGGGTCTGCAGAAACCTCTGTGGCTCCTCCTGAGTTTGCAGACGACCACCCTCTTGTGGCCTCTTCAGTGGCCATCTATCTGTACAAGCTGCCCTGGTGTCTCTGTATGTATCCTAACCTCCTCCTCTTAGAATGTCACCATTCAGAATGGATTAGGGCCTCCCTAATGACCTTATTTTAACTCACTTGCCTCTTCGAAGGCCTTATCTTCAAATACAATCACATTCTGAGGTACTGGGGGTTAGGGCTTCAACATATGAATTTGAGGAGAACACAATTCAGTCCATAACACTTACTATTACTTACTTACCTACTTATGATTATAATTACTTATGATAATGGTAGCTGTTACTGTTAATATATTATTAAATCATTACCCTGGAAGATTCGTTGTCTGACTAATTAGCTGGATGTTTTAAAAAGAGAAGTGGATTAATTTTTTTAAGAAGTGGATTTTTTAAAGAAGTGGATTAAGGTTTTTATGATGAAAGCAATGATCTTAGTCCACAGATCAGAAGCCAAAGGGTGTGTTATATGATACTTTTTAATTTGTATATTTTGTTTATTCACAAATTCATTATTTACCAAAAACTTAATGAGTGCCTACCAGGTCCCCAGGCAGGGTGTTAGAAGGTAGCAGCGCCATCGTGAGCAAGACACGTGCCTGCCATTGGTCAGTTCACAACCTAGTATATACTTAAAATATCTGTGCCTCTGGAATGTAACAAGAAATAGTTCCCCAGAGTATTAGGTCTTAGGAAGTGTTGGTATTTGGGGCGCGTGGGTGGCTCAGTCGGTAAAGCGTCTGCCTTCAGCTCAGGTCATGATCCCAGGCTTCTGGGATCGAGCCCCGCATCGGGCTCCCTGCTCAATGGAGAGCCTGCTTCTCTCTCTCCCTCTGCCTGCCGCTGTGCCTACTTGTGCTCTCTCTCTGTCAAATAAATAAAATCTTAAGAGAAAAAAAAAAGGTGTTATTAGACCTTGGAGTGCTGACTTTGTATTTTAAAAGTCAATTGATTGGGGCACCTGGGTGGCTCAGTTGGTTAAGCGACTGTCTTCGGCTCAGGTCATGATCCCGGAGTCCTGGGATCAAGTCCCACATCGGGCTCCCGGCTCAGCAGGGAGCCTGCTTCTCCCTCTGACCCTCTCCCCTCTCATGCTGTTTCTCTGTCTCTCTCTCTTTCTCTCAAATAAATAAATAAAAAATCTAAAAAAAAAAAAAGTCAATTGATTAATTTTAAAAGCATTAAAATCCTGATTCGAACCACTACCCAGGACTGTGATCGTGAGCAAATTATTTAATCCCCTCAAACCACTATTTCCTCATTTATAAAATAGGAGTAATATAAATATTATATAAGGTTAATTCATGATTAAGTGACATAATGCATGTCATAGCACCATACTTGGCACTTATGAAGAACTTAATAAAATGGTTGCTGCTGGGTCTTTTTTGTTTTTAGTTTTTTGGTTTTTTTCCAGTTCAGGAGCTAAGCCTCATCTTGGAGGTGAAATTGAGGAGATACTAAGAATAGCTTTATATGTAGGTTTCTAATAATTGGAGAGAACTTTTGCCAGAGCTTTGGAGTTTGTTATAATTTCTACCCTGCCAGTTTCCAGAAAGGATTTGAAATAGTGCCTGAGAAGTGTGTTCCAATCATGAGGTAATGGAGGAAACACTGACCCAGAACTAAGATGAACTTAGCACTAGGTTTAGCTCTGGAGCCAGCTAGATGATCCTGGGTAATCCCGAAGTGTAGGCTCTCCCTATCAGATTCTTTGCCTTGTTTATTAATTAGGAAATCCTTAATCTTAGATACTGGCTGGACTTTAGGTTTCTGAGGCTTTGTGTATAATCTCCAGAGTCTCATAAGTTTGAAATTATATTCTAAAAGCAGAAATATATAACTTGAATTTAATCTTCCTCCTGAATGATTATGACTTTCCAGAGAATAATCATTAATATAAATGACTTAATAGATAGTCCATAGTCTTTCCGTGGCTGAATTCATTTCAGAGTCCCTAATATATTGTTAACATTGCATTTATATTAATTCTTGTTTTGGTAGCAGCATTCTTATAGAAGGTACTAAAGTCGTAAGTTCTAAGACCTTGACTTTCTCACATGGCTGTCATGTATTTGGAAAACACTGGGAAGGCACTGTGTAAGTCAGTTTTAACTGATAAAGACATAGTATCAGGCTTCATGAGAAATTTTTTCTTGTCATTGTTACTGCCGTTGTTCCTTTTTTTTTTCTTGGCAGAGTAGGAATACTTTTTAACTGATGGATTATTAGGGCCACTTTGATTAATAAATGAGGATAAGATAAGGCAATAAAAGATTTTAAATAGAATGTCCTTCTAGGAAATGAGAAGGGTTAAACCCATTAAAATGTTTTCTACTTAGATGCCTTTGTCTGTATAAGTTTTTTATTATTTTATGGAAAGTTCACAAAATCTTAATCAACTATATAATTTAAATGACTGAAAAAAATAGATACTATATCTCACAGAATTACAGATCTTAATTCTCATCTGATATTTGATATTGACAAATGTTATATTTTCTAATGTTGCAATTAGTTTTTTAAAAGCTATTGAATGGTACACTTAAAATTGTTAAAATGGTGATTTAATGTATATTTTTTCACAATTAAAAACCAAAGCAAAAGTAAAAACCAACTAAACAATAACAACAAAACAGATTTACTAAGTTATATCTTTTCAGTATCTTTTCCCCAGAGTTTTTCTGCGTTTGTTACTGAAGCACCTATTTGGACACTTTCCAAATAGTGTGGGTAGTTAGTAGATTTTTAGGATTGATTACCACTGGGTTTATATATCTGTGAATTACAAATGTATGATTTATTTAACATTATTTTCATGGCAAAGATTTTTAATTGATCTTCCTTGTTTTGCAGTTACTTCGAGAGCTTAAGCATCCAAATGTCATCTCTCTTCAAAAGGTATTTCTGTCTCATGCTGATAGGAAAGTATGGCTTCTGTTTGACTACGCTGAACATGACCTCTGGGTAAGGTGAATTGCTGGTAGACATTGAGCCCTTGGTTTCAGACAGGGATTAAGAGTGACTAAAAACAATTTTAGTTTATCTTACTATGAGATTTACATTTTAAAAATAAAAGTAACCTCATAGAATATGGTTGATGAATTACCAATACTAGGGTAATTTTGCTTTGTATTACTATATTTTGATCTTACCAATTTGAACTTTGTAACATGCTACAGAAAATAGTAGAATCTGAAGAGTATAAACAGTTATTCAGTATTGTTTCCTAGCTATAGATTTTTGATAAAATTTTAAAAAGTAACTGTAATAGCTATTTTGTTATAGAATTTAAAAGCAGCATGTTTCCTTTTACTCTATAAAGGAATATAAAATGAGAAAGTGGTATCCTCATTATAGGAAGATAAATATGTTATATTTGGAAGACTAGACTGAAATTTATGGTTCGGTCTGTTATTTGTCATATGACATTAAGCAAGTCTCTTAATGGCTCTGAAGTTGTAGTCCCCCCAACTCCATCTGTAAAATGTGGTACTTTTCCTGCTTTTTTACAGGATTTTTCTGAAGAGCAATTTTGTATTTGAAAAGCTTTATAAACTAAGTGTACTATACAAATGTAGCATACTATTAATCATTTATTGGATATTATTCATACTTAATACTCCATATTCTAATGTATTTCTTATTTCCATCAGCAGAAGTTCAATATTGTACTTACTTGAATTGGGCATGTTCTTGTATAGGAAGAATTCTTTGTGGAAGAGAGCTCCCAATTAAATCCTTGAAGATTCTCAAAGTCAAGTAATTACAGTCAATTAGATTAGTTTTATTTGGTTAGCTAATATAATGACAAAAATGATGTTATATTGATAAAAATTATTATAAACTGAGAATTTAAATTTATCTTGGCTAGATAGCTGAATTACAAACAGCTAACTCAGTATTTTGTATTTACTCAGTAGATTGCTTGGTATTTACATAAGTCTTGGGTAACTATAAAATTTACTCTTTTATTAAACATAACAGTTATGTTCTTTGAAAGTCTGAAATGCCATCTTGGGGATAAGAGTTTATGATATATAATGAAAATAGCAAGATAGCCAAAATATCTTTGAAATATACTCACAAAACTTATATCCTGATCAATCTTGTGTAAAACATGTTAACATAGACTACAGTTTAGAAAATAAAACAAGTAAACAAAAACCCAATATTACATTGAGTTAATTAACAAGTTCTTCACTTCTGTGAACTATATTTTTTCTGGTATTTAATAAGTAATTTAATAAGATCTTTAAGTATTTCACTGTGTTTTGTATACTGTTCTATATTTATATTTACATATTGGTTGTACATTTATTGAGATAAATACAAGAGAAAACATATATACAGATCTTCCTTGACTTACATGGGGTTACATCCTAATAAACCCATCACAAACTGAAAATCTCATTAAGTCAGAAATACATTTAATACACCTGACCAATCGAACATCACAGCCTAGCCTAGCCTACCTTAAATGTGCTGAGAACACTTCTATCAACCTCCAGCTGGACAAAATCATCTAACACAAAGCCTATTTTATAATAAAGTGTTAAATATCTCATGTTAGTTATTGAATACTGTACTGAAAATGAACAATGGAATGGTTGTATGAGTATGGAATCATTGTAAATGTATTGGTTGTTTACCCTTGCTGACTGGGTGCAGTACCTCCTGCTGCCCGGGGTCATGAGCAAGTGTTGTACTGCATGTCACCAACCTGGGAAAAGATCAAATTTCAAAATTCGAAGTATAGTTTCTGCTGAATGCTTGTCGCTTTTACTCCATCATAAAGCCAAAAAGTCAAGTTGAACCATTGTAAATTGGGACCGTTGATACTGCTATGCAAGGGATTATAATCTTCTGGCTCGATTTTAGATATCTTTAAAATTTACATTTTTCATTCAGCTGTAGTTTGTAAATATAAATACAAAATTTTGAAATAAAACTAGTAGAAATTCCAGTAAAATTGCTCAAAAGTAAGTTAGCCTTCTAAAAATAGTAAAATAGTTTTAAACTCTTTTGCTAATTTCCAGTACTAGCCTCATTTACATAATTTTAACCAACAGATTTCAGAAATTGACACTTATATGGGTTTCATATACTTTCAGATTTATAAGAAATATTTTTTGCTCTGTAGATTCCTGTTTTCCATGAGTAAATGCAGTTTGATTCAAATTGTTTTTATGTTATCTGGAAAGAATTGTTTTCGAACTGAAAGTAGACGTCAAATTTTCTGTTTTATGAAACTGCTGTCCAAGGTCAATGCTGGTTGTAAATATTTTTGTTGTTGTAGCTTCTGTTCTTTTAAAAATAAATCTAATCAAATCAAATTGGGATTCTGTTAATAAAAATTTGTTAAATTAGGGTGGCCAATATTGAATTGAACACTCATACTCAAGCCTAACATGAAATCAAATTATATGACCCAAATTTATGAGAAATTTTCTAGGCTGCTTTATAAACATGATTTGTAATAAAACATGATTTGTAAAGTTGAACATAGGAGATAGTATTGTATTCAGTATAATTCCTAGCAGGCTAGTATGTGATATCTAATTTTACATGTAGGTATAATAATTATACTTTTATAAATTATGCTGCATGCAGTGTTCCCAGATGTGTATATATCGTCATCATTGGCTTTATTGTCATCTTATTAATATTCATTTAAGTCACGTAAGGACTTTTAATGTTCATTTTAATAAAAATCAAATAATTGACTTTACTCAAACCTCCTTTATCCATTTTATTTTCTTATTTTAATTGGAATATTGAAATGAATTAGCTGGGCTAAGGCGGCGGAGAGTAACAAAAACAGTCCCAGTAAAAAGAGTCATTTAAAAAAATTGCTCAGGTATTGGTGAAATTTCATGATAAGCACACCACATATTTGTTATATAGCCCTGGAATAAAAATGAAGGTAAGAGATTTCTCCAGTGTAGTTATAAAATACTGGTTTAAAAAAAAGTATTTTGTTAAACCCTAATGAAAGTATTTATAAAGAAATGCATATGGCATCATTTATTGCACCTCCCTACATATGCTTCTATTCTTATTCTGGCAGATTTTAATTGTTAAAAATGATGTATTTCAGTCTATTTTTATTAAGCTCTAGAGAACCACTAGCTCTTATTAAGGTGAACAGACTTCATTGTCACACCATTTCTTAGGATAGGTGACAGAACATTCTAGATTATTGAATTGTAGCTCTGTTTTGTTTGACTGTTTTTAAATACTTTGGAAAAATAACTGAGAAGAAAATTAAAATAGTGTAATGCTGCTAGTAAAGTATAGATTAATCATACTACATGCATGCTGACTGATAGAGTTTACCTTCCCACCAGGTAGTCTTTGCTATATATTTTTCCTCTGGAAAGTAAAACTCCTTCACTCATTAATTACTAGTTATTCTTTATCCATGTTCTACTTTCTATATCATAAGAAAATAGGAAGTGAAAATGTTGACCTCTAATATAAAATATGTCAATTATGTTTATTAATTTCAAGAATATGCTTAATATTCACTCAGAAATACTGCTCAAGAGTCTGTTCATGTTCACATGAGGTGCCAGGCATATACCTGTGTTTTACACACAGCAGAGTTGACTTCACCTGACTTGTAGGTGTTCTTACAGTTTAAAAGTGCTTTAATTAAAATGAAGAAACCTGTCAAGAGAGTTTGAAACATTGGATCTTGTTTCTTTTGAGGTACATTTACTTATAAAGTGATTTTTCTATTTATAAAGTGGTATTGTGTTTTACCAGATGTCCAAAGCTTTTAATGGGTTTAAGGCTGTTTTTTTCTCATCTGAGTCTTTCATGTTTCTAAATATTTTCAATGTGAACTGGTCATTTACATGTTATTTCTTTATGCTTCTGTGTATTTTATTGAAGTAATTTCCCTGTTTGCTTTTTGCTTGGTTTATAACCCATGCGTTGTAAATAGGTACCACATCTGTGCTGTGTCAGCCAACCCAGGAGTACCTCTTGAAATTTGTTTTTTGTTTTTTTTTTCTTTTCATTTAATAACTACAGATAAAAAAGATTCTGTTCTTGAAAATTTCCACCAGGTAAACAGGGATCAGGTATACTCTGAAAGTAATTTTTAATTATACTTTCAAAATAAAATCACATTGTTCTCTGCTTCTGTGTTGCAGTCATTTATTTTCTGAGACATGATCATATGCTTAAGAAATGAAACTTCAGCTCCAGTTATTAGGAAATTTTAAATTTATGTTATCCAGCAGAATGTAAGATGATATTTTCAGTATCTTTGGGAATCCCTGAGTGTTTCTTTTTCTGGCACGAAAATATTATACATCAGATTATCTTTCCCTCTTTTCCTTTTTAAGCTTCTGGTGGTATTTTTGTTTCTTTCAGCATATAATCAAGTTTCACAGAGCTTCTAAAGCAAACAAGAAGCCAGTTCAGTTACCTCGGGGAATGGTGAAGTCACTATTATATCAGATCCTAGATGGGATTCACTACCTGCATGCTAACTGGGTGTTGCACAGGGATTTGGTAAGTTGATATGTAGTTAGGTCTAAGCTAGAAAGATGCCTTTATAGTTGGATGATTTTCTAGTTGTCTCTAGATATTAGTGGTACATAGACCTGCAAACCTTATAGAGTGAGAGTGCTGTAGTCTCATAACATAGTCTAGCCTTGTGCTGTTTATATGATGCATCCTACTCCTCTGACATAAAGTGGCTGGGGTTCAGTGAAGAAGTGAAAGAGGGCACATTTATTTTCCTAAGCTTTTGTTTACTTTTAAGTCTGTAAAGAAGTATGGACTTGCTTGATTCTTAGCTGCTAGGCAAACTCTAGAAATTGATATATTTATGAATAACTTGGAAATGAAACTTTTGGAGCCTACCGCATACTAAGTTACGTATTAGAAGAGGTGATGTTAATTCAATCTGCTTATTTTTTAAGCCTCACTATATTAGTAGCATGTTTTTTAGTCATAATTAAGAACTTTATTCAGAAGCCTTGCCATGTTAAGGTACATTGAATTTTTAAGAATTTAGAAACTTGGGCGCCTGGGTGGCTCAGTTGGTTAAGCGACTGCCTTCGGCTCAGGTCATGATCCTGGAGTCTCTGGATCGAGTCCCGCATCGGGCTCCCTGCTCGGCGGGGAGTCTGCTTCTCCCTCTGACCTTCCTCCCTCTCATGCTCTCTGTCTCTCATTCTCTCTCTCTCAAATAAATAAATAAAATCTTTAAAAAAAAAAAAAAAGAATTTAGAAACTTCAGAAATTGGCTTTCTTATTTTTATTTTACATGGCAGAATAATTTACGCCTTTTTAAAACCCATCTAGCATTAATATGTTCATTAAATTGTGCATTATTCATTACTCTTCATGGATGAAAATTTAAATCTCAAATTCCCCTTATTGCATAATTACATTGTGCTTTTGTTGTTCTTTTCTTTGGAAAGGTGGTAACTATAGTAAAGTTTATAACAATGCCTTCATTCCAAACAATTACAAAGACAATTCTGGAACTGATGATTTGGTCTCTAATCACATGTGTTACATTGGAAAAAACCCTGTAGAATTTAAGCCAGAGCTGATCTGCCTCTTGCACATATTCTTTCCAGGCTGCTGTATATTTAGTACCTTCAGATCAGATGTTCCAGTGTCATAGTTTCTAGTTCTTTCTTCTATCTTCAATAAATCTCCTTTCAATATGTTTAATGGTATTTATTTTATCTCTAGTTCTCATACCTAGAAAGCATTTAGACCGGGACCGATAACATCAGAAATTTGTTTGAAACAACTTTTTTCCTTATGTAAACTTTATTTTTAATATTATTGGAATATTCATGGTGGATTTATAGAACAGAAGTAGGACAAATCCATTGGCTCCTTTTATGAATCTGAAAACAAATTTCAACCTTTAGGGGTGTAGTCAACTTAGGGAAAAACTATTACTACTTTTGAGCTACTGACCTTTTTTATGATCTCTAAAAGAATAAAATCTGGCAAAAGGGTATTTTTCCCTAATTATGCTGAGATGACACTACATTTTCTTTTTATAGTAAATTATTTTTCATCATTAAAATATATATGTTTATTAGATGAATGCAAATAATACAAACCAGTATTTAAATTGTTAATGCATAATGTACTTAAACCACTTAAAGTAATATTAACTACAGTAGTGAAAATAATTATAAAGTTTAATTTTTTTTATTTCTCTTTTGGGATAGTTCTTTCTATTGGTGCAGCCTAAATGAGTTGTTTTTGACCTAGGGATAGTGTAAGATATGTCATTTCAAAGGTCTCTGTTAGTGGTGTGCCAGGAGGTGGGGGCCGGGGGGGGGCAGTGCATTCTAGATGCCAGTATCAGAGGGATGCACTCTCTGGAGATGATTTAAAAAGAATGATGAAACAGATGAAAAGTAGTTATTTTCTGTTGTCACCATATGCTGGCAGTTGTGAATGATATCAGTTATAAAATATTCCTGTTCACAGAGCAAACCATTCTGACTCCTCTATCCCCTTTATATGCCACTGCTACTGTTTAGTAGTCAATTTATCCAAAATATTTTCTGAACTGTAATATATTATTTGTGTCCTGCTACCTTTTTGATTTCCCCGTTTGGAGTGAGAGTTCCTGTATTGTCTGTGTGTGACTCCTTACACCTAACTCTTATGAGCATCACAGGCCCACGGAACCATTGTGTCATTAAAGTGGTAACCTCTGCCTCCAGGCTGGATCTTACTGGGTCAGGTGCTTACTTCTTGAATTTGTTCTCAATTTTTTAAAGGAAGATTCATTACGGCAGTTTTGTTGTTGGTTTTGTTGTTGTTGTTTTTAAATGTGCCCACCTTCCTGCTAACTAAAAAATAGATTTTGGAGTTTTGAGGTTATATGATGTTCAACTGTAGTTACATTAGAAATTCATATATGAATACTTCTTTATATATGAATTTCTAATGTAAAATAGTTACTTTAAAGAATGTTCTTCAGAAGCTGTATAACATGACTTTTTAAACTCTTTCTCAATATTTATTATTATTTGCAGATGAAATATTTACCCTATAAGAATAAATATAATTAATAGTTAATTTCATTCCTTGCTTCTTTTCAGTCAAGTTTAGATGAAATGTGGCAATATTGACCTTAGCCGACCTATATAGATTTCTCATGTTTTGAATTGAACCAATTGGTTGAGTTGCTGACTTGCCAAGAGAAACATCATACCAAAATGGATAATTGGCACAGACTCCCTAAAAACATCATTTTAATAATGCCCCAGAATGTTATTGAAGCTTTTGCTCAATAAAATTGTCTTCGTTATTAATAGACACACTGGTTTGAGATGATAGAGTTACGAAGTTCTTTGTTTGATATGTGCACTTGAACTTTAACAATTAATAATCCTATTTAATAAATAAAGATTAATTTTGTCACTGTTAATCATCACATAGTAGCAGATCAGTAACTGGGGTCTGTCATCCTTGATGTGAAATAGAGATTTAATAATTCTGGAACTCTGGTTGGAATGAAGTTGGTAATAAATGCATTTGTGTGTAGCTGTTTTAAGAATGGGCCTGAAAGGAAACACATGCAATATTTATTTTTGTGAGATAATTTATGATCTAAGCCAAACTTTTTTAGTTCTAGAACATTAAAATATGTATGTATAAGTTGGTTTGCTTTTACACTTTATCTGTTTGCTGTAAGTAGAGATAAATAAAAACAAAGGTGTATGCTTTGTTCTTCCTTTGATTACACTCCTTTCTCTTTCTTCCTTTATTCTCTCCTTGGGAAATGAATGTAGTCTGACCAACAGGCTATAGTCCTGGTTCTGGCATTACCACATGTATCAGGATTCTCCAGAGAAACAGAATGTGTGTGTGTGTGTGTAGAAAAAGAGAGAGAGAGATTTATTTTAAGGAGTTCCCTCAGGCAAATTGTGGAGGCTTGGTAAGTCCAAAATCTACAGGATAGGCCAGAAGGCTGGATACTAAAGGGAAGAGTTGCAGTCAAATACAAAGGCAGTATGCTGGCAGACTTCTGTCTTGCTTCGGGGAGATCAGTCTGTGTTCTATTAAAGTCTTCAGTTGATTGAATAAGGCCCACCAGTGTTATGGAGGGTGAGCTGCTTTACTCAAAGTCTACCAATTTAAATGTTAATCTCATCAAAAAACAGCTTCACAGAAACATTCAGAAAAATGTTTGACCAAATATGTGGGCATCATGGCCCAGCCAAGCTGGCACACAAAATAACCATCCTATACAAATGAGTAAACAGAGGCACAGAGTTGAAACAGTATGGGACCAGTTAATTCCATTTTTACCCCCCAGTTATCTGCTTATATAAAATAGTAGGAGTGTTGGGTTAAGGAATATTAAGATATTTTACCTGCTACTATAAAGAGGAACTAAGTGTGAAATCTTAACGAAAACTTCAAGTAAAAGATATTATTTAAGTGACTCAAAATAAGGAAAGGTTTGAAGTCTATTAGCCTGATTGGGTTGAGTTTGGTAGTTTTCTGAGCACAAAATAAAAAGACAGTAAGCACCAAAATCATATTTGATACTTCTTGTGTAGAAGCCAAAGTTTGATTTGGCAATGGTGTCTGAAGTTTTTCCTCTGAAAACAATGGTGTCTGAAGTCTTTCCTCTAAAATGGTAGTCCTGTTTGACTGAGTTAAAGCACATTGGCAAGTCCATGAGGATTTATCACTAATAGTACCTCTACTATGACCGTTTTAGGACACCCAGCCACCCGGCCAGTTCACTCTCTCGTCTGTCTGACCTCTTTCAGTAGAAACAAGTATTTTTTGTATAACTTCCTAATTTTAGGATTGGTTTTCTTGTGCAGTTGTGAAATAAATTTCAAAATCAGGTTTTTTGGTCTTTTTTTTTTTTTAAATGAGAAAAAAATCTGATTAGATTAAAATTTGAAAATCTCTGCATGCCAGTATTTGTGAATTGAAGTGAAAGCTGGTTATGATCTTTTTTTTTCTTCCTTCTCACTCTGTATACCTACTTCCAGCTAACTCAGAGGTTGCCCTACCTACTTGAATCCTTTCTTCCCTTCATCTCTAGTGTTTAAAATTCTATTCATCCTTTAAAGCTCTGCGCCTGCTACCTCAACGATAAAGCCCCCCCCCCCCCCCCCAGTCACCCTAGCTGGAATTGAGAATGTGTACATCTAAAGTCCTTATAGCAGCTACTTTGAACTACTCAAGGGCACTTAAGCTAGTTTGGGTAATAAGTTCTCTATTTGATTATAAATTTCTGAGGGCCAAAGACTGGCTTAATATGTATTTGTATCCCTCCCAGTGCCTTGCAAAATACACAGTGTATACAATACTGCTTATATTTGTTGAATGAATAAACTAGCTCATTTGTAACAGAAACAAAGTGTCTTCCAAGGTGATTCTCCATAGGTTATTTCTGCTACCTGATGTTTTTCTGTGCATACTCTGTTACATTTCTTCTTTTTACTACCTACCCTCTTAGCTCTGTTACGGTTTACTGTAGTCGAGCAGTACAAAAGATC